TAATCACTTACACACACACACACACACACACACACACTTGCAGTCTCTCACGTGTGGGGAACAGTGAATTATGTAAGGCAGTTACGCAACATACATGCGTAGAGCAGCAGAAAGCAGAGCGAGAGTCTGTTCAGAGCAGCGCATTCATCCTACAGGGCAAGACAGGTCATGTGACGGGGTCAGGGGTCAGAGGTCACAAACCAACATCAGCAGCGGCAGCATCTATAATCTGAGGCTGGAGGGGTCATGCTATTGATCAGAATGATCTTATTATCACATGACCTTCCAGAAACCACTCTGATTTGATGATCAAGGCATATTCATTATTATTATTATTATTACAGTAACAGAGTCGACATTCTCCATCATGTCATGCTTTAGCTCCAGATGCTGACCTCACAGCAGACTCCACATGCTGCAATAATGAATAATGACAATTAGCCTTGATTAATTTGATGATGACTGAAGCTGGATGTATGACTGAGGAGGCGGAGGCTGTCAGATGCAGCTGTATTGGACTCTTTAAGTTCATATTTTCAATACAAAATGTCTTTAAATGCACACTGCAGCATCTGTGTTCCATTAACTCTAGTTTGGGCTGTAAGTTTTTGATCAGTAATTGAAGGTTTGTGTGTTCCAGGCTTCACAGATTAATAAAAGCTGAAAGAGCACACGTGAATTGATCTTGTGTCTCATTATACGTGTCTTTGGTGTCTTTCATCAGTTTAATCCTGCTTCCCTGATGAATAAATCCATTAATTTACTAATAAGCGCAGACGAGACTCGGTGATGTCATTCAGAATACTTTACGAGGTCACCATGGAGCCGTTCTCCATCATTTATGTTTCCATGGTAACAGTGTCTTCTTTGATCTCAGGATTATGGATAGTTTCTTTCAGAAAACATGATGACGTTATAATCTCGCATGGACAGAGAGGGTGAAATGTGCACACCTTAAGACATTATTGTGTTTATTCTAATTAATATCAGACAATATAATCCATATTCTATTTTTATATTCAACATGCTTTGGCAGTACTGTAAAAGACATGCCAATAAAGCAATTAAACTGAAAAATAGAGAGATTTAGACTCTCTAGGATTTATTATTTACTTTATTTTATTTGATGTATTTTATTTTATTTTATTATTATTTTGTTACTTTATTTCATTTTATTTTTGTTTAATTTTATTATATTAATTTTAGTTTAATTTATTTTAATTTACTTTATTTTATGAAAGTAAATGTATTTTTTTACTTTGTTTGCATTTTATATATATATAGCTATTTTATTTGTTTTTATTTTATTTGATTGATTTTGCATTTAGTTTTATTATTATTTTGTTATTTTATTGAATTTAATTTTTGGTTTATTTTATTTAAAATTATTCTATTTGACTTTATTTTGTTTTATATTATATTATATTATATATTTTTATTTACTTTTTTATTTTGTATTATATAATTGTATTATCATATTTTTTTATTTTATTTCATTTATTTTGCATTTTATATTATTATTTTTTGTAAATTTTATTTTATACATTTTTCTGTCATTTTAATTTATTTTAAAAGTAAATTTATTTTTTACTTTGTTTGCATTTTATTATATATTTTTTTATTTATTTTGCATTTTTTTAATTTTATTGTTATTTTGTTAAGTTTATTTAATTTAATTTCTTTTTATTATTTTTGTTTTATTTTATCTTGTTTTATTTTGTTATTTACTTTATTTTATTTTATTTATTTTGCATTTCATTTTATTATTATTTTTATTTATTTTATTTTTTGTTTAATTACATTTTATTTTACTTTATTGTATTTTTCTTGAAACCATATCTTAGAGGATTATTATTATTATTCCCACTAAAACTTTTTTCTGTTTTATTATTTGTTTAATAATCATATTTGTCTTTTTTCTTATTTGTGTGTTTTTGTGTTTGTTTGTTATATTTATACACGTTAAGTAATAACTTTATGAAATTATTCAAGTCGTGCCAATAAAGCATATAAGAAATGAAAATAATGGAGAGAATTCACCACTGAAAACTGTTTACTATTGTCTCTCTCTCTCTCTCTCTCTCTCTCTCTCTCTCCCTCTTTCTCTCTTTCTCTTTCTCTCTCTCTCTCTCTCTCAGGTAATTTTAAAGGCATGTGCAAACAGATCGATCACTTTCCTGAAGATGCAGACTATGAAGCAGATGCATCAGAGTATTTTTTACGTAAGTCAAGTGTGTGTGTGTGTGTGTGTGTGTGTGTGTGTGTGTGTGTGTGTGTGTGTGCGTGTGTGTGCGTGCGGTTTTCTGCTCAGAGCTGCTGCTGCTCTTTAAAGTGTTTAATTAGGTCACTTATTTCTATAAATATTTCAGTGCAGTTTAAATGGGTCAAAACTCTGAATGGCCTGAACTCATCCTCCTCTCCTCATCATGCTCACACTGCACAATGCTGGAATATTCAGCACACGCACACACACACATATACAAATGCACGTGTGTGTGTATGTGTGTGTGTGTGTGTGTGTGTGTGTGTGTGTGTGTGTGTGTGTGTGTAAATGTGTGGTGTGTGCATATGTGTGTGCATATGTGTGTTTGTGTGTGTCTGTGTTCGAGTATGTGTGATTTATGTGTTTGTGTGTGCGTGTGAATTCGTATATGTGTGTGTATTTTTGTGAGTGTGTGAGTGTGTGTGCGACTGTGTGTGTAATTTTGTTTATGCATTTGTAACTGTGTTTGTATGGGTTTGTGTGTGTTTGATTCATGCGTGTGTGTGTGTGATGGCCAGAGTAGTGCAGATGGAGCAGGACATGTGTTTCTGGCATCAGCAGTTTCTCACACACACACACACACACACACACACACACACACACACACACATACATGCAAACTGCAGATCTGGAGAGTTTCAGAATCGGAGATGTGGATGTGTGTCAATCAGACGCGCAGATCAAGGTCACCGCTGCGCTCTGTGTGTGTGTGTGTGGGTCCGTGTGTAGTGTTTGAGTGTGCGCAGGTGCTCGTATGTGTGTGTCTGTAAGATGCATGTGCCTCTGTGTTGTATTTGTGTTTGTGCATCAGTGTGTGCGATAAAGAGAGTGTGCAAGTGAAAGTGTGTGTGTGTAAGAGTAACCCACTGGTCCTACTGGACCCATCCTGTTCTGAGCTGGGATCGAACCGGCGACCTTCTGCATGGGAATCAGTTGCTCTAACAAGGAGGCTAAAGACCAAGGCCCCCTGCGCCTGTCGCTAGAGCATATTTTGAGGAAGGAGGTGTGAGATTTACCTGCACAGTACTTCACTAGCTGGCCTCCGTTACACTCGCCATCCTAAACCTCACTCCCATCCCGGACGAGCCCCCACATATACTCTACAGGCCCTACTGCACCCATCCCGTCCTGAGCTGGGATCGAGCCCACAATTCTTTGTACGCACCTTTACAGGTCAGAGGAGTGAGGCGCTAGCTGCCCTCCGTTACACAAGTGTACGAGTGTTTATGTGGTGTGTGTGATCTTGGTACAAACAAATGTCCCCACAGGTATAGCAATACCAGTAAAGTTTAGACCTTCTTTTGGTCTTCATGAGGGAAACGGCTTATATATCAGACAGAATCAAATAGCAAATGTAAAACTGCAGCCTTGTGAGGTTTACAACTACAGAGAGACCACACAACATGAAAACCCAACATCAGTGTGTGTGTGTGTGTGTGTGTGTGTGCAGGAGCGGTCCGGGCCTCCAGTATTTTCCCCATCCTCAGTGTGATCCTGCTCTTCATGGGTGGTCTGTGTGTCGCCGCCAGCGAGTTCTACAAGTCTCGACACAACATCATCCTCAGCGCAGGGATCTTCTTCGTTTCTGCAGGTGAGCGGCTCCGTGTGTTCCTGCACAGCTTTATAACACACTCAGATTTAGCAACGTCCAATCAGGCATTCAGGGAGGAGCTATCAGGCATTAAAGGAGGAGCTATCAGGCATTTGAGGAGGAGCTATCAGGCATTAAAGGAGGAGCTATCAGGCATTTGGGGAGGAGCTGTTAGTCATTTGGGGAGGAGCTTCAGGGATTTGGGGAGGAGCTGTCAGTCATTTGGGGAGGAGCTGTCTGTCATTTAGGGAGGAGCTATCAGTCATTAAGGGAGGAGCTATCAGTCATTTAGAGAGGAACTATCAGTCATTTGGGCAGGAGCTATCAGGCGTTTGGGGAGGAGCTGTCAGTCATTTAGGGAGGAGCTATCAGGCATTTGGGGAGGAGCTATCAGGCGTTTGGGGAGGAGCTGTCAGTCATTTAGGGAGGAGCTATCAGGCATTTGGGGAGGAGCTGTCAGTCATTTAGAGAGGAACTATCAGACATTTTGGGAGGAGCTATCAGGTGTTTAGGGAGGAGCTGTCAGTCATTTGGGGAGGAACTATCAGTCATTTGGGGAGGAGCTGTCAGTCATTTAGGGAGGAGCTATCAGGCATTTCGGGAGGAGCTATCAGGCATTTGGGGAGGAACTATCAGGCATTTGGGGAGGAGCTGTTAGTCATTGAGGGAGGAGCTATCAGTCATTTAGAGCGTAGCTATCAGGCATTTAGGGCGGAGCTGGGATGCATTATGCGGAAGTGATGATCTGTTTTGGACGTGTATATTAAGTTTATATCTTGTAAATTCAACGTTTGTGACTGTTTTGAATCACACCAGCTCTCAAATATAACATATTGAAACTGATGTAAAAACTATTTTAACTCCTCGTGAGCTTTACACCATGTGTGTGTGTGTGTGTGTGTGTGTGTGCACAGGTCTGAGCAACATCATCGGGATAATTGTCTACATATCAGCCAACGCCGGCGACCCGTCCAAGAGCGACTCCAAGAAGAACAGCTACTCGTACGGCTGGAGCTTTTACTTCGGCGCTCTGTCCTTCATCATGGCCGAGATGGTGGGCGTTCTGGCCGTGCACATGTTTATCGACCGCCACCGGGAGTTACGTGTGGCGCAGGCGCGAGTGCGAGGAGCAGATTATCTACAGGGAGCGGCCATCACTCGAATTCCCAGCTATCGATATCGTTATCGGCGCAGCTCGCGATCCTCCAGCCGCTCCACGGATCCTTCACACTCGCGGGACACCTCGCCTGTCGGCCTCAAGGGATTCGCCGCATTACCGTCTACCGATATTTCCATGTACACGTTGAGTCGCGGCGGCGGAGATACGTTGAAAACTCCGCACGGCACACCACCGATGTACAACTCCGACAGAGAGGCCGAATTCCTACAGGTGCACAACTGTATCCCGAAAGACTCGAAAGACCGCCGCACCACTCCCGTATGAGCGCCCCCTGCAGGACTCTCAATAAACACTGATGGTGACCAGTTTACATGTCGAATCCAAAAAAAAAAAAAAGAATTGCATGATTTTCTTATCTTCCGTAAAAAAATGAACAATTCAGAGCCGATGAGGTGGACGCCGAGAGCTCTCGAAGTGTCTTTTTATTTATGATCATTTCATTTCGTCGCACATTGATACTGTGAACGTGACGGCAGGGAAGAGGACAAACCGTCCGACAAAAAAAAACAAACAGCCGCGATTTCTATATGTCATAATTAACGTACTACTGATACATGAGTATATATAAACATATGAAGATACATACATCTGTTAATAAGCCACACGAGCAGACTTCTTGAGTCAAGAAGACGAGAAACAAAAGAGCAAATCAGAAGTCAATAAAGTCATCATGGGTAACACCAGTGCGTGGATTTATTTCTGTTGGTTGATGATCCTGAATTGAATTAGTCTCCAGATTACGCTACATTTATCTAGAGCTGAACGAACCATGTCTATATCAGACTGTCCTCAGATCAGCGTCACGATGGAGATGTGCAGCATGAAGATTAAACCAGCACCCTCTGCTGGCCATCACAGGAACTGTGTGTGTAAGTGTGTACATGCTTTTATATCCCAGTGGGGACTTGATATTAAATGCTTTCACACTCGAGGAGACTTTTTGGCACAAATGCTCCTGAATCAGGCAGAATGAAGGAGTGTGAAGATGTAAAGTGCAGTGTGTGCGCGCACGCGTGTGTGTGTGTGTGTTTAATCATCACACTAAAGGCATTTTTTTAGATTTATAGAAAGCTTTATTTGATTGAGAACAGACATGCTCATATGTACACAGATGATGATGATGATGATGAAGATGGCGCTGGTGTCAGATGAGGCTCAGTATGCTGTTCTTCTGCTCCTGATAGAGGGAGTGAAACGCTGCAGCCAGACTGAGGAACGGAGCTTCATAGTGGCCAATCTCCTTCTGCACACACACACACAGACAAATGCATAAACACAAACACACACACACACACACACACACACAAAACAAGCATAAATAAAAACAAACAACAGACGAACACACACACACACACCAGCACACACACACATACATGAAAACACATGCATACACACAAACACACACAAATACACACAAAAACATGCATACACATATCACACAAACACACACAAACAAACACATGCATACACACAAACACGCACACAGATGGATACAGACATGCATACACACCAGCACACACACACGTATACATGCAAACACATTCATACACACAAACATCTAAACGCACACAAAAACAAGCATAACAACACACACACACATATACATACACAAAAACAAAAACATGCATACACACATCCAACACATGCATAAAAATGCATACACACACACGCATAAACACACACACACAGCATTGTCAGCCACACTGCATTGCTGATGATGATGATGAAGGTGTGTGTGTGACCCACCGCACTCGTCTCGTGATACTGCAGTGTGTGTGTCTGAGCGAAGGCTTGAGCTGCAGCAGCGTCCACCTCACGCCTGGAGGTCAGGTCACACTTATTGCCCACCAGTACACCTGCACACACACACACACACACACACACGCATACACGAATGCACGCATACACATTCAAACACACATGTGCGCACACACACTGTAAGATTGGAAGATGAGGAATATTGTGTTCTCTGTGTGTGTGTGTGTGTGTGTGTGTGTGTGTGTGTGTGTGTGTGTGTGTGTGTGTGTGTGTGTGTGATAGACCTGTACCTGGTGTGTGTAGTCCGTGACTGTGTGTTTGGACTCTGTCGATCCAGCGGCTGCAGTTGTTGAAGGAAGCTTCACTGGTGACGTCAAACACCACACACACAACTGACGGCTGACTCCACTGACACAAACACACACACATCATGAGACACATACCGCAGGTCATGTGTGTGTGTGTGTGTGTGTTTGATGTGTTTTAAAACTCACCACATTCTCACAGGCGTCTGAAAACAGCTCCCGTCCAGCAGAATCATAGATGAACAACTCCTAACACACACACACACGCACACGCGCTTATTAATCAACTGATTGATCTGTAAGCAGGTATGGTGTGTGTGTGTGTGTTCATACCACAGAGTCACTGGTGTCTGGGATAGGGACTGTTTTCTCCAGTAACTCCACGCCAACATTCTGTAAAACACACACACACACACACACACACGTGATATATTACGTTACCATTTATAATTGATGAAGCTATTATTTAAACCCCACTGTGTGTTGTGTATTGTTGTGTGTGTCTGTTTTATGTGTGCCGTCTATGTGTGTATCATTGTGTGTGTTTTGTGTATTGACATGTTGGTGTGTGTTGTGTTGTTTGTGTGTTGCTTTGTGTGTGTTTTTGTGTATTGATGTGTGTGTGTGTGTGTGTTGTTTTGTGTGTATTGATGTGTGTGTGTTGTTTTGTGTGTATTGTTGTGCGCGTTTTTGTGTATTGATGTATGTGTGTTGTGTTGTTTTGTTTGTGTTGTTTTGTGTGCGTGTTGTTGTGTGTGTTTTGTGTGTTGGTGTGTGTGTGTGAGTGTTTTTTTGTTTGTGTGTTGTTTTGTGTTTTTGTGTATTGCTGTGTTGGTGTGTGTGTGTGTTTGTGTGTGTGTGTTGTGCTGTTTTGTGTATGTCTGTGTTGTGTATTGTTGTGTATCTGTAGTTTTGTGTGTGTATTGTTTTATGCACTAGCTTGGTGTGTCTGATTCTGTGTGTGTGTGTGTGTGTGTGTGTGTGTGTGTGTGTGTGTGTGTGTTGTTTTGTGCATTAGCTCGGTGTGTCTGACTCTGTGTGTTCTTGTTGTTTTGTTGTGTGTGTCTGTGAGTGTGTGTTGTGTTCACCATAGTGTAGTTCTTCTGATACACAGCTCCATCACTGCAAAACATCTGACACAGTGTGCTCTTGCCTACAGCAGCGTCTCCTACACACACACACACACACACACACACACACAGAATAAGTTCACGCACTCTTGATAACACGTGATGTTCATTGCGTATATAATCTGCATAACACACTTACCCACAACCACACACCGCGCTCTGAGTTTCACCATGAAGCTGAATATTGATTACTGTTGGATTAAATATGGAGGTAATAGTGTGTGTCTACGTGTGTGTGTTATTACAGATTTAATGCATCTGCGTTATTCCTCCGTCAAGGCAACCCGAACCTACAGCGTCGCTTAGCAACTGAAATTAAACCCATGCTATTGGTCGAGCCGCTCTACGCTACTGATTCTTGCAATGCGATTGGCTGGACGGCCTGACGCAGAGCCGTACGTCACTCTGACGTTGACGCAACTGTTGTTTTATGTATGCACCGCTAGAGGCCGCGCTTATATCTTCATTCACCCTTAATCATTTATATAAGAGGCCGTGGGCGAGCTCATATATATATATATATATATATCTCTCACTGTTTAATTCAGCAGAGTGAACAGGCAGAGCAAGCGTCACTGTATTTATTCAATCAAATTACACAAACATGACGTGCTGTATGTGTGATCAGCTCCTGCCTGCTCACTGATAATAATCATCATTCTGGACTATTTTTAGGAGTTTATATAAGTATATATCTTTAATAGTTTACACTTATCATTATTTTTTGCATGCCTACTTTGTTAAATAATTATTATGATATGCATTAAAGGCGACGCAGTGGTGAAGTAGGTAGTGCTGTCACCTCACAGCAAGAAGGTCACTGGTTCAAGCCTCAGCGGGGTCAGTTAGTGTTTCTCTGTGGAGTTTGCATGTTCTCCCTGCATTTGCGTGGGTTTCCGCCATATACTCCAGTTTCCCACAAAGTCCAAACCAATGACTGCAACGCCTGGGTGATTCTTGCTACTCAGAACACCCTAGCAACCAACTAGCAATACCTTAGCAACCACTCAGAACACCTTCGCAACCCCTTAGTAACCCCTCAGAACACCATAGCAATGGCCTAGCAATACTTCAGTAACCACTCAGAACACACTAGCAACAACCTAGCAACACCTTAACAACCGCCAAACAACCACTCAGAACACCCTAGCAATGGCTTAGCAACTACTCAGAACACCACATTTAAACACCCAAGCACACCTTAGCAACCCACTTATCAGCCTACTTGTATCAACTCTTTTAAACTTCTTTGGTTTAAACCGATAAACTAGGCTACTTCAAACTTTCAGATTAACTTTCTCAAGCCGCCATGAAGTTGGTCTACGAACTTTACTTTTCTAGTGTCAAGTTGTTGTACATTAACTAGCTATATATTCAATAAAATAAAAACATGTAGATGTTTGTTCACTCACTGAATCGACTCTTCTGAATCGATTCTGAATCTCGGAGCATGCACGCATGAAGAGAGAGAGAGAGAGAGAGAGACATCTGTGTGAGTGTGAGTGTGTGCGTCTGTGTGTGTGTGTTTGACGGGATGCAGCAGCAGAGCATCGGATCCTTTGAGCTTCTCACCTTCATCCAGCAGCCGCACACCGGCCTCCGGATCCTGTGCTGGGTACAGTAGCGGTCAACATCTCTCTTGCTCGCTCTCTCTCTCTCTCTCTCTGAGTGTGTGTGTGTGTGTGTGAGGTTCTGCACATGCTCAGAGAAGAACTCATCTTTTAGTATACTGTTTCCTATTCAGTTGTGTTGGTAAATGTAGTTGAAAATCTGTAAATAATCAGATTAGTTGAGGTATTCATAGTGTAGTGTGCTTAACAGCACTAGTGTTTTTTATACATGTCGACATGTTCATTTGACAGCAGTTGGTTTGAGTGAGAAAGAAGAAGTGAGTTCTGCTTCGTCTTTAACACCTGTGTGTCTCTATTTTCAGCTACAGGACTAACTCTTACAGTTTCACATGGTTATGCTGTTCTTAAGTTTTCCCCTCATCTCGTACACTTTTATTACCCTTTAACATGCGCTATATGAAAAAGATATTTTCTGGAATCAATAGTGTTCCTGACACCACTGACTTTGAGATTGTTCAGTTGAGTTTTTGTTTTAAATACATAATCAATCACACACACACACACACACACACACACACACACACACATATATTACAAAACAGTTATTTTATTTCAGTCATTTGTTAAGTTTTGTTTACTTTTAGTGTTTCATTTATTATTTTAGTCATTTTCATTTTATTTCAGTCACAGAGAATGTTTTAACCAATAGTTTTAGTCTTCAGTTGTAAGTCTTATTGCCAGTTCACACTGCGATTTTTAATGATCCTAATTGATTGTAGCATGTCAGACTGCACAAACATGTCTCCCATGTCACACTGTAAGATCTCAGCTGTTAGAATGTCAGACTGAACGACAATGAAGACGCACCAAGCATGGAGGAGAATGCCCCTGGAGTTCGCCATCATCCACCCGTGACATTTTCACTATCCTGCGTTCTGAAATATTTCCTCACAGCAAACGTAAACAATCTGTAGCAGCAAGTTTGCACACAGCGTGTCTCAACAATAAAACTAGGATGAAGAAAACTGTTTTAAGTTTTAGTTTTAAGTCTCGAGTCGTAGTCTTTAGTTTAAGTATTTTGTTTTAAGTCTTAGATATTAAGTGTTAAGTTTAGTCTTTAGTTTAAGACTTAGTTTTAAGTCTTAGTCTTTAGTTTTTAGTCTTAGTCTTTAGTTTTAAGTCTTAGTCTTTAGTTGTAAGTCTTAGTCTTTAGTTTTAAGTCTTAAATATTAAGTATTAAGTCTTAGTCTTTGGTTTAAGACTTAGTTTTAAGTCTTAGTCTTTAGTTTTAAGTCTTAGTCTTTAGTTGTAAGTCTTAGTCTTTAGTTTTAAGTCTTAGTCTTTAGTTGTAAGTCTTAGTCTTTAGTTTTAAGTCTTAGTCTTTAGTTGTAAGTCTTAGTCTTTAGTTTTCAGTCTTAGATATTAAGTATTAAGTCTTAGTCTTTAGTTTAAGACTTAGTTTTAAGTCTTAGTCTTTAGTTTTAAGTCTTAGTCTTTAGTTGTAAGTCTTAGTCTTTAGTTTTAAGTATTAGATATTAAGTATTAAGTCTTAGTCTTTAGTTTAAGAATTAGTTTTAAGTCTTAGTCTTTAGTTGTAAGTCTTAGTCTTTAGTTGTAAGTCTTACTCTTAAGTCTTTTATTTCAGTCACTAAAATAACCTTGCTCAGAAGTACACAAATGTGACTAATGATGATTTGTTTGTCCTCAGTTGTTTTCTCTGGTGATTTTGGGATGTATCGCTAACGAAGGCCAAATCAACAGGCCTGACGAGGTCCAGAAGTTTTGCATCTTCAACCGCAACCAGAACGCCTGTAATTATGCGCTGGGCATGGCCTCGCTGGCCTTCATCTGGTGCCTGCTGTTTCTGGCTATAGACGTGCATTTCCCACAGATCAGCAGCATCAAGCACCGCAAGAAAGTCGTGCTGGCTGATGTGGGGACGTCAGGTACAGAAAAGCACTGACGCTGGTCACTGGTTTATTTAGACTTCAAGTATATGTGTTTGTGTGTGTGTGTGTGTGTGTGTGTGTGTGTGTGTGTGTGTGTGTGTGTGTGTGGACACAAACAGTACTGCAGTGTACCATGGAGTCTGAAGTATACACTGTATGTGTTTATGTGTGTTTTTTCTAAAATGTGTGTTTCTGCAGCGTTCTGGTCATTCGTCTGGTTCGTGGGCTTCTGTTTTTTGGCCAATCAGTGGCAGGTGTCGAGGGTGGAGGATGACCCGCTGCGTTCAGGTGGAGACGCTGCTCGTGCCGCCATCACCTTCTGCTTCTTTTCCATCTTCAGCTGGGTGTGTATGGAGAACAATATATACAACATATAAATATTGTCCAGCCTGAAATAATTCCTACATGGCAAATTCTGACGTAAATGAGACCTATTGTGGCCGTTTATATGATGTAATATGCATCTCTGCTGTCTGTAGAGTGTGTGTGTGAGTTTGAGCTGAGAAGAGCACACAGATAATGCTCTCCAGCTCTCTGAAACTGACCCTTTTAGAGGCTTTGATCCTAACTGTGGTGTTTTGGTGACTGTCGCTTTAAATGCAAATGAGATTGTGCTCATTTCAGAAGAGGGCGGAGCTTTGGTTTGTATTTACATAATGTTAGTGTACTCACTATGCATAAATATTGTATATATATATAAATAAAAATATATAAAATACAAAACCTGAATATTTACAAATATTTATTTATGATTTGTATCAGATACAAATATTTAATTTCTGAATATAAATAGACATTCTCTGAAATATACAGTATATATAATGTTTTCTACCATATGTGATGTGTGTTTTCAGGCCGTCCTGACGCATGTCTCTCTGCTGAGGCTGAGGAGCGTGTGTTTCCAAGAGGAGTATGAGCAGCTCTGCACGCAGCAGCACACACACACACACACTCCCTCGCATTGTGTGTGAGCATGAAGAAGCTCATTAAAGACACATTGATCAGATCTGAGAAGCTGAACTAACATTTACCAGCAGGTGTGTGTGTGTGTGTGTGTGTGTGTGTGTGTGTGTGTGTGTGTGTGTGTATGTGTGTGTGTGTGTGTGTGTGTGTGTGTCACACAACATTCAGCTCAATTTATTAGCATATTTTAGCATATTTCCAAATCAAACTGAATGTTGACGGGAGGAGAGATGTCCTCATGTGTCGCTTCTGTTCCAATGAAAGTCAAGGATTGACACCTGTAACATTACTTATGTTTTAATTATCAGTCTAATTATAGAAGATTAAATGTATTCAAGAATGTTTATGTTAATAATAGAGCAAACATATCACTTTGTTTCCAGCTCATGATTAATAAAACAATGAAGGCCAATAAGAAAAGATCTTTAAAGGAGATCTGTGTGCTTCAGTGTGAGTGTGTGTTCATGCTTCTGTCGCTGCTGTTGCTGCTTCATCTAAAACTCCACATCTATAATCCTCTTAGTCTATGCTGACATCATCTTCAGCAGCTCAAACACTCTAACGGCTAATAGACAGACGGCTGCTTCTCACTCAGGGCTGCTGTTTATGCTAATGAGATGGAGACTAGTGGGCGGGGCTTCCCCCCTCTGATGACACGTACAAAGGGAGAATGTCAATCAAAATGTTCCTGCATCAAGTCTGATTATAACAAACACATTTAATCCATGATCTGGTGATATTCACACACTGCTGTCACACACAACTGAGGGTTTTGCATAATAGATAAAGTTACAGATTATATTTTAATATATTTCACATTTGATTATTGTATTGCTATACCTGAGCTAGGCTATGCAAGACATTTGGTGAAAGTGTATCGCAATACAAATATTGCAGGAAAACAAAATCTCACAATATCATCTATTTTTTTTCCTGGAGACCTTTCATGTTTTTATACAGTCTACGATTTATACACATCACCGCTTTTTTACTCTTCTGATTGACAGAACTGGGTCAAACTCTGATTATATACGTGTTTGTGTCAATATGCTGTATGTAATGTACAAATAAAGGTTGTATGTTGACGATATATGTCTTTAAAAATGAAAGTGAATCGTTTTGCAACTGTATTTGATGTGTCTGATTGTGCTTATTATACGTTAGTGTTGATTAAAAGTGAAAACAGACGCAGCAGGCTGATCTCCGTGAAGACTAGCACTGATCTCCAACTCATGCGCCTGTCTGAAGCGGGCTCGCGCATGCGTGCAGATGAGCTATAGTTCTGAATGACACTCTCTTCCGCTCAACATGGCGGCGCAGCGAAGGAGTCTGATGCAAAGCGTAAGAAAGTCATTTTTTCCTGAGTATCTGCTTGAGTTGTTTACTTGTTTATTTCAGGACTGGCTGTATAGTTTAACCCACATCTAAACGAGTAAGTGAATGTCCGGTTTGAGAGAGATTTGTCTGTGTTAAGCTGCCCGAGCCCGTATTTACCCTGTTTACCACAGTGTGCTCAGCATTAATGCAGCATCGCCACAGTGCTCAGGCGAGTTTACCGTCAGAACTAATGCTCTGGTGTCATACACAACATGCCAACACAACTCACCACTGTCATTAATGAGTCTGATGTGGCTAAATCTGCTGCAATATTTACTGTTTTTCCCGTCGTTTGTATAGTTCTGCCCTAAAAGTAGAGTTTGATAGTGGCTGGAGCTGTCACATCTTAAACCGACATCATATTTATAGGCGATAACTTTGATAAATATGACACAAATGCAAGTGTCAGACTGGTAACTTGTTTTCCTTTGAGTTTGGCAGATTTTGTCTGGTTTTAATGATGAATCCCAACAATATTTACATATTTCTCTATTTCATATTCGAGTTAGTTCAAGTTTAGTCATATAAAGTTGTGTGATTGCAGATTTCACTCATTTACATTTGAATTATTTTAGCACTTCAAGTTCAACAAAGTCGTAGCAATGGGTATTTATTCAGAAACTAGATCATCAAAAGAGGGATTTGTGTTGTGTGTGTTTGTTTTTGTTTTGTGTGTGTAGGTGTATGTTTACGTGTGCATACGTATGTGTGAGTGTTTATATTTGTGTTTATGTGTGCGTGTTTGTGTTTTATATGCATGATTGTTTGTGTGTGTGTGAGTGTGTGTGTTTATGTTTGTGTTTAAGTGTGCATATGCGCCTGTGTGTGTGTGCTTATTAGTGTATGTGTGTGCATTTGTGTGTGTTCATTCTTTTGTGTGTGCGGATGCATTTGTGTGTTTATGTGTGTGTGCATGCATATGTGTGTTTATGTGTCATCATTCCTGTGTGTGTACATGCATATGTGTGGATATGTATGTATGTATGTATGTGTGTTTGTTTGTTGGTCTGTGTGTGTGTGTGTGTGTGTGTGTGTGTGTGTGTGTGTGTGTGTGTGTGTGTTTGTGTGCATATTTGTGTTTTATGCGCATGTTTGTGTTTGTGTGCAAATGTGTGTGTGTGTGTGTGTATATGTTTGTTTGTTTGTGTTCAAATGTGTGTGTGTTTTGTTTATGTTTGTCTGTGTTTATGTGTGCATATGTGCCTGTGTGTGTGTGCTCTTATTAGTGTATGTGTGTGTGTTTATATGTATGCAATGTGCATATGTGTGTGTTCATTCCTGTGTGTGTGCATGCATATGTGTTTATGTGTGGATAATAAGTATGTTTGTTTGTTGGTCTGTGTGTGTTTATATTTGTCTTTATGTGTGCATGTTTGTGTTTTTATTTGTGTGTTTGCTTATATTTTTGTCTGTCCACGTGCATTTATGTGTCTTTCTGTGTGTGTTTGTTTGTGTGTGTGTGTATATGTTTATGTTTGTCTGTGTTTATGTGTGCATATGTGTGTGTGTATGTGTGTTCATTCTTGTGTGTGTGCATGCATATGTTTTTTGTATGTGTGTTTGTTTGTTGGTCTGTGTGTGTGTTTGTGCATGACTGTTTGAATGTGTGTGTTTATGTTTCCCTGTGTGTTTGTGTGTGTGTGTGTGTGTGTGTGTGTGTGTGTGTGTGTGTGTGTATGTATGTATGTATGTATGTATGTGTGTGTGT